GGGGTTGTCATCGCCAGGAGGAGGGGGATTGTCATCGCCGGGAGGAGGGGCATCACGAAGGGGAGTGGCATCGCGAGGAGGAGGGGCATCACGAAGGGGATTGTCATCGCGAGGAGTACTAGTAGCGCCTCGAGGATCTTCATTCTGCAAAATACTATTAGAATCATTGTCCTATTGAATTTTAAACAATAAAGGACATACCATGCGTCTTCGTTTAGTGGATATATTTGAACCACCAACTTGCAAATCGGTTGGCCGTTTCAGACTGCGAAATTCATCTGATAGTCCTGCACACCGTATGGCTGCCTTCTCGTCTTCACCGGCCTCCTTCAAATGATTTTGCCAAGTTCGCAGTGACCTGAGCGGTGTTCGGATTCCGAGGCAGTATTTCGTGCAAACGCACCAATGCACATCTGACATTGGCAAGATGATATGGGATATGCTAGACAAAATATAACTTAGTACTAGCACGCGCGAAAAGTACCCAAAGGCTTACCAGTATTTTGGTTGCTTCTTGTAACAAAAGTGCAGTGTGCCAGCTCCACCTTGTTATGCTTTTCGCCCCCCGGCACACCAAAGGGAGTTACACGGCAAGGTGGGCAGAGCTCTGAGGACACAAAGTTGTGATGCGCAGCCAGCACCGTGAGGTGAGTTGATCAGTTCTACAGTGAGACTGAGGTGCACTGATGCGACGTTGTTGAACAGATGTTGAACGTTATAATGTTACGCTGCTGCGTCGCTGGCAGGCTGCACACTGCGCAGTGCATACGCGTTCGATCAACACAACTGATCACATGATCAAGCTAAGTCTAATTCCGTCGAAGTAACGATAATTTACATTTATAAAATCTAATTCCATAGTTCTACGTGGAAATGGCCATGTCCGACTTTCACTGGGCTGGAGGGGTGGTCCGATCGGGAGATTCGTGTCGAGATTCCATATAGACGCGCTGTTTTATCATAGGATCCACTTGCAAGGAAGCGGTTGTTTTGAAGACAAGGAGATGACGTCAACACTGTTTGTGTGACCGTCAAGAATGGCAATCTGCTCCCAAGTGGCTGTGTCGAATATCCTAATCAGGTTTAATGCACCGGAGATAAGCTTCTTTCTGTCCGACGTCCATGCCAAGCTTTCAACTGCCCAATCGTGATTGAGTGCGGTGATGAGCTTGCCCGTCTTGCTATCCCAGATTTTGACTGCACTCTCTCCGTTTCCGCTTGTCGCGATGTGTTCGTTATCGGGCGAGTACATCACCGCCCACACCCAATCGTATCCGGTTTTGATTGTCAGGACAATTTCTCCTCTGTTGGCATCCCATACTCTTGCTGTTCCGTCCCAGGATCCGCTCGCTAATCGCTCACCATCTGCGCTCCAGCACAATGCACACACACCATCGGTGTGTCCCGTCCATTTGGCGATGACTTTCCTCGTCTCGACGTTCCATAACTTCACTCTTCCATCGCTACTGGGCAGATGGACAACACCTGTTACCCATTTGGTATGGCCTCGCATCGTCGAGCGTGGCATGGTCACTGGCGTCTGTTGCTTCTTGCTGGTGGATGACGACATGGTCGGCGCTAGGGATTCCGTACTTCAGATCTGGGACTATCTATGCCAGCGAATTCCGCCGAAATCTTTAAACCAGACCGGGTTATCAGACGGCAATATTAATGGTTGTTGGTGAGTCCTGCTTCTTTCACGTTAACGCTTGTCAGAAGCAGACAAGCAATTTCTCGCGGGGCACCCTACTTACAAGAATCCAGTCCTCACCTGGAAGACAGCTTTGGGACTGTATATGCAGCACTTGCTGGGCCTGCTTGAGAATGTGCAAGATATCCTGGTGCGTATGGGCTGAAGCATCTGTAGTAAGCAAGTGGTCATATTTAACCTGCAGAAGAGCCTACGCTATCACTCGCAAGATGCACCGTTCACACAAGCCCAGTGCTCAATCACCAGCGATCAATGGGTGTCTGGTTGGGAGAAGGGGAAGTTGGGCGCCTGTTGGTTCAAACCGCTTATCAAGGTTCGTTCGATGCGTCATCCTCGTGTTCGTTTCACAGCTTCATTGCTGTGTAAATGAAGCGCTCAGGTCTGTGACCGGCGCTATGTGCATCCTCTTGTACTCAAAGGACCTCATTATGGCGACAAAGTTCGACGGGAGCCGCAATCCCTCTCCACTCCGCATGTTTCTTCCGGCCCATGTTCGAGCTCATTTCAGTCAACATTTCTGGATGTATGCATGCTGTGCAGCACGTAAATAGTACTAGTACCCGGGATGGAGTTGTCGTTTATATGACAATACCATATATTCACTACCTCAGGACAAAGTCGCTTTGCTTCGTCCATAAGGTCCACAGTCCGCTGGATTACAGAGGGGATAGGCGAGCTAGCTCTAGTTCTGATGCGAGATAGACGGTTGATTGAGGTGCGTGAGCTTGATCAAGTGTGGTCCCCGAACGCTTATCTATGTCCATAGGTGCTAATACTCCTCCCCCCTTGCCAGTGATCATCGACATCCGGTGTCGAATTCGGGATACTTCTGAGGCAGCGTTGCATCATCGATGATGCTCAGAATAGCCCGGGATAGTAGCGAGAAATTCGACCCTCTGTTAGCTGCTCATCCAGAGAGGATTTCACTTTCTGGTGCATAATAACTGTCTTCCTACATCATTCTGCTGCGGCTGCAGTACCTGAAATGTCGGTGCAGGGTGCCCAACGCAGGATATAATATACTGCTCTGGACTTGACTAAAACATGTTTCGAATGTACTCGTCCAGCGCCGGTATGTACATGATTCACGGGCCAGCGTTGTGAGCTTAGCGAGTATGTCACAGCTTCTGGATGATGAACATCGCCGCATACACCAAAACAGCGTATATGTGAGTCTTCAAGTTTTTTGCTCAATGTCCCGTTTGCTGGTAATATCACCCATATCACGAGAGCAGAAGTTCCCGCGTGTTCGCAAAAATCGTCTCATTATGAAAGTCAAACCCAGCCAGTGTGTTGTGCATATGAACGATATAAAACGCTATAGCGCTGCAAAATTCCCCTTGCCATCACGCAATTTCCTACACTTTGCTTTCATCGAAAAATGCAAGTGAAGTAGCATCCTGTTCTGATAAAGTCTGACTTTTCAACTTGCAAGGTGATAATCTAGGCTGAACGGAGTCTACACCTGCGCTTTTCCCAGCTAGTGCGATAGGCGAGCGGATGAATTTTCTACCGCTGTTCACCGCACTAGCAGGAAAGATGTCAACAATAACAATATTAATGTAGAAGATTGGGACGTTGCCAATCACGTTTCGGGAACATACAACAGGAAAGATGCAGGTTTGACTCCAATTGGGCACTTCAGATTAGATTTGAGTACGGTGCAGAGGACCATGTGATGATTAGCCTAGTACGACGTTCATGACAATGAATGGTGACGGGCGCTTGTAGTATGAGTTTAGGGCAAGCGGGACCCTCAAGCTCAATCGTCCCGTTCCCAATCGAGTAACGGACGCTAAGCTTTTATGTAAAAATAAGCGCCCATGAAAAAGCTTTTCACCAACTCGAAAGGCTGAACTTGCACACTACGACTTTCGGATGCACAGTCTCCAAAATGCGCGCTCCATCGCTATCGGTGCACTCGCTTGCAGAAAACGAGCATTTGGCGTTTTTGCGGATGCTGTAAACATCAACTCGGACACAGGCTCAACGCGAAGCCAGAGCAAGGACCAGAGTCAAAGCTTGGAGTCGGGAAAGGATGAGAGACGGAGCAAGGAGACAGCGCAGGGACAACAGGGTAGACAGGGACAGAGAGAAACTCTCTCGCACGTTCTGGGTCGCCGGCGTGAATCCTCGCGCAGCCATGCAAACAGCTCACATGCCGCAGAAAAACACGCTGATGCTAAAACCACCAGCTCTTCCGTCAAAACCGAGCCCTTCATACGGGAAATCACGAAAAAAATCGATAGTGCTGTGGAGAGGACCATCAATCCAAGCACTCGAACCCCTCACCATGTCGCTTCAGATGCAGGTGCTTCGAGGAGAAGAAAAAAGGAAAGGCAACTAAGAAACAGGAAGGAACAGGGAAAAGCGGACGTTGGCGATGCTGGTGCACGACCTGCTGTAGAATCAGCGCGTGCCTCCCTTGCAGGATTCGACATGAAGCGTACTGAGTTACTGGAGCTACTGTTAGGCCCTCCTGGGGAAATCAGTCGTGTGGCGAAGGAAGGTTGGACTACAGGGTGGGGCGAGGACGGTGCGTTGTCCATGAAAACACTGTGATTTTGCTTTTAATTCAGTCCTGGTCTATTGTGCGCAGCGCTTCAACCAGGGGAGAATAAGAATCATGGATTGCAGGCGTCGTTCAGTGGCGATAGACAAGAAAGTGGGAATGGGTCCATGGAACGTGGGCAACCGCCGCATTTACATGTTCGCCATCCCCTACCTTACACCCGCCGGGTAGAGGGACTCTTCGACGACGTGGATGACCTGAGTGCTCTTTCATCAGGCCAACCGAGCTCCATCAACAACATACTGGAAGGTTCGTATCATTCAGTAGCATTCGCCAGGTTTTGAACGTGGTTCTAACGTGTGTATTGTGCAGATATTGAACCACCCACGGAACACAAGCCTATTGCGCGGCTTGCACATGGGCTTGATAGAGTGCTGTTTAAGTGCATCTTTCTGCTTTGTGGTTTGTGAATGCCGATTTAACTCGATTTCGTAGCCCCGGCGTACACTGGCTCCAAGATCCACGCTCACGTGTATATAATTTCACGCCTTGGCTTGAGAGCATACCCAAAGTCACTGATTTCGCGTTCGAGCGCGTCACTGGGTTCATAAGGAGCTCTCAGGATGATGTATGTTTGATCCCTACTTTTTCTATCTACAAAATCTGAGGACACTCATTAGGACCTTCATACACTCGCTAAAATGCACTCCCGACCATATGTCGGGTCGACTTCCTCCCTCACCGGTCTGCTCAGCCATATTTACTTCCTCATCTCTGGCGGAAAGGATATTGATACGAGTGTTTTGAGTGGCGCTTTTGCGCATGAGGTAAGTGATTGTTTATGGCACCCGAGGCTGAGTTTTTGGGCATGGATTTTGCGATGTATGCTCTTTGGCCTTCAATGCGAAGTCTATACTCGCCTCTTATCGGTTACATCTTGCCACACACGTTCCTGGACACGACTATATGCCCTGTTGCTCTGCCTATATGCCCTTTCCAATTTTGCTGACACATCTGTTCACAGCCAACAAACTTTACCCCAGGCCAGCGCATGCCCGTGTCAATCGTGTTACGGTACAAAGACGGTGTATGGGCGGTCGATTCTGGTAAGGATGGCGATGATGACAGTGAGAAAAATGTATTGACCTGGATGGTGAGTCCCACAGGACCATTTGGTGCTTTTCTATTTCTTGCTTCTCCTTTTTGATTTACGTATCACGTAACTGATGCATGGGTTCGCATTACAGGGCACCCTCCTCGAAAAATTCGTCACAGTTCCAGAACCTGAGTTCAAGTCTCTCCTGCGCTCTTCGCCCGCCCCAGCGGAAGGTGAGGAGGATGAAAGGAGGGAGGCATATCGGTATGCGAAGGTACGTTTTTCTTGTATGCTTTCCCGCGCGGTGATTGATATGATCTTATGGGATCAGAGTAACCGCTTTTTGATGCGCTCCCAACTTGATTGCGTAGACCCGCGCTTACCAGGAACAGGCGTTTTTGATGTCAAGACCCGTGCTGCGGTGCCAATCCGACTGGATTTGCTGAATTTCGAGGTGCGTACTTTTTAGTTCGGGTCTGGTACCATCCATTATTGTGATTCTATCGGGAGCACATCATGTGCATCTCAACAACGACTCATACTCTGAACTTGGACTGGGCTGACGGTGTTCGTTGAATGTAGGAGAACTCGGGTTACCTCATTCGCACGCTCCATGGACCACTGGAGAGCTTCGAGAAGGAATACTATGATTTAATTCGGAGTGCATTTCTGAAATACAGGTGCGTTGGTGCCTCACCCTTTTCGCTTTCTCCCGCCTTGACTTGACACTCGTCCCTTACCAGCTTCCAAGCTCGTATCGGCAACATGGACGGCGTGTTCGTTGCTTACCACAACACGGCCCGCATTTTTGGGTTCCAATATGTCTCGCTCGAGGAGATGGACGCGCGGTTGTTCGGACCAGAGGAGAAGCCTGCCGGTGTTCTTAACGGTAGTGGTGCGCCCACCCGAGGCGCGCGCATATTCGAGAAGTGTGTGAAGCTGCTGGAAACAGTGATGGATGAGGTTGTTGGAGTGTTTGGGGAGAGGGTCAGTCCGTTCTTTTGTGTGGTCCAACGTTTTAGTGACTGGTGTGACCCCGGATAGAGCGTGAAATGCACTTTCGAGACACGGGAGCGCTCGTCGAAGATGAATATATGGGTTGAGCCCGTCGAGTGGGACGCGGAGACAGACGGGAAGAAGGTGATAGAGTTGAAGGAGGGAGAGGAGGACAAGGATACAGAGGTGATGGAGGAAGGGAAAGATGATGAGGGGAAGGAGGACCAAGAGAAGACAGCGGAGCCACCGATTATTCAGATCGACGTAGGGGTGCAGAACTTTATTACTGGGGAGCCTGTACGGGGCGCAAGAGCGATTGGTGTCGCGCCTTCCGAGAACTGTGCGTCGTTCTTTTTTCCATTCGGCTCCATTATCATGGGTGCTAATATTTTCCGGGGTACAGGGATCCTCCACTGGACCATCTCGCATAGCGCGCTGGAAGCCTCCAGGATCCGGGCGAACCTCGCATCTGCGAAAGATAGGCAGTTCCGTGCGTGGAATTTCCCAGCGAATATCAGCCGACCCGAGGAGATGCAGGCATGGTGGAATGCGCTGGATTTCGGTGGACGGAAGAATACTGCTTCCCCTTCAGGTGACGGTGACGGGACTATGGGCGAGGAAGTAGCAGTGATCGGCCTACCCGAAGTGGTGGTAGGTGACGATAGCCCTGTCGCAGTGGGCGAGGAGAACGGTTTGATAGAGGAGGAAGGACCTGAAGCCAATGAGAACGGCACACAATCGTTTAATCCCAAGCTCTTCCGGCCAGCGTCGACGAACATTGAGCTATTGCGCCAGCTATCGAGAGACGGGAGGGAGGAGACTTTGAGGGCAGAGGCCGAGGAGGAGGCAATGGGAAGGGAGAAAATCGTTTGGGGTCTTTTGAGGAATGGGGGTGTTGGGAACAGTGAAACCAAGGAAGTGCCTGAGGATGGGAGTTCGGCGCACACCGTTGCTCAGGCTTTAGAGATGGAGACAGTCGATGCGGTGGAACAAAAGAGCGAGGATAAGGACAGGGACTGAAATCTTCCCCGTAATGCAGCGCGCTGCCGCCGAGCTGTCGTTGACCTTGCTTTCCTCTAACAGTTCACGACGCGGCGCCCGACGCACGGCGAGTTGACGACACAGTACATCGCATAGTCATTCAGTACTCAGTACTCAGTACGTGCACGCTATATTTTGTGCGATTTACGTTTGCATTTTTAGATAGATATCGTATACGATACGACTCATAGTAGTATGTATATACCACACTACAGGGACATCCATACACAGATCCCAATAATCACAACACCCCTCTGCATTCCGGTGAAAAAGAGGGCGGACATCTGTTGGTCATCCTGAGTCCACATATGGCCGACAGGGTCATATTCGTTGGTGAAAACAACTGTCAGTGTCAAACACAACTTCAATGAAAGCAGACACTTCAGTAAATGCCTGAGTGGGAAATCATCACGGGAGGACAGTTCCTTATTGCAAGTACCTCACTTGTGCGTCAAGAATCAGCAGTATGGCCAGAAATGGTATGTTCAATTTAGTTTCTATTTATTTTTCTGTATGTGTGCACGTGGGGGTGTCGGTTTATTATGGACGCAGAAGCAGAAGCAGAAGCAGAAGCAGAAGCGACCTACTGTGAGCTCCCCATGAAGCTGTGTAGCGAACACGAGGATGACGCATGGGTTTGATCGGGCGCCCAATATCCCCTCTCCCAACCAGACACCATTGATCGCTGGTGATTGAGCAATAGGATCGTCTGAACGGTGCTTCTCGTGAGTGATACTCAGGCTGTAAGCTCTTCCGCAGGTTAGAGATAATGACTTGCTTACTACAGCGGTTTCCGCCCATACCCACCAAAGTCTCTTGCACATTCTCGAATAACGGCGCAGCGAGTCCTGCATATACGCGATCTTCTAGGCGAGGACTAGATTTCCGTAGGTAGGTTGTCTCGTGAGCAATGGCTTGTGCGCTTCTGACAAGCATTAACGTGAAAGAAGTAGGCCCCTAGACTCACCAGCAACCATTGCCATCCGATAACCCGGTCTTATTGAAAAATTGCAGCGGACTTCTCTCACATAGATAGTCCGCGATCTGCAGTACTTGGAACCCCCAGCGCCTATCATGTCTTCGTCCACCAGTAAGAAGCCAGCGATCACGCCACGTTGGACGATGCGAGGTCATACCAGCTGGGTAGACGGTGTCGTCCATCTGCCCAGCGAACGACGCATAATCACATGTTCGCATGACGCCTCACTCCGATTATGGGACCTAGAGAGCGGTACACAGATAGGTAAGGACTGGCGAGATAAGAGTAAAGCAGGAATGTGGTGGTCCATGGCATTGTCTCCAAACAACAAGAAAGTTGCAAGCGGAAGCAGCGACGGGACAGTGAGTATGTGGAACGTCGAGACGAGGAAGGCCATCACCAAATGGACGGGGCACACCGATATCGTGTGTGCGTTGTGCTGGAGTGCAGATGGTAAGCGAGTAGCGAGTGGATCCCATGATGGGACAGCAAGGGTATGGGATGTCAACAGCGGCAAAACTGTCCTGACAATCAAAACGGGACACAATCGGGTATACGCGGTGATTTACTCGCCAGATAAAGAAAAAATCGCGACAGGTGGCAGCGAGTATGGAGTAAAAATCTGGGATAGCAAGACCGTCGGGCAAGCTCATCACCACACTCCAACACGATCGCGTAGTTTACAGCTTGGCCTGGACGTCGGACGGAAAGAAGCTTATCTCCGGTATATTAAACCTGATTAGGATATTTGACACAGCCACTTGGGAGCAGATTGCCATTCTTCAGGGTCACACTTCCACTGTTGACGTCATCTCCTTGTCTGCAAACAACCGCCTCTTTGCAAGTGCATCATGGGATAGAACAGCGCGTCTATGGAATCTCGACACGAATCTCCCAATCGGACCACCCCTCCAGCATGAAGATAGTAATGTGGAGTCCGCAGCCCTTTCTGCTGATGGAAAAACGCTAGTCACTGGTTGCCACAACGGAAATGTGTACACATGGGACATTCACGCCATCCTAAAAGAAGCTGGCCTTGAAGACCTCCTACCTATTTCTGATGTAAATCCCGTAGTTCTTCGGTTAAAGCTATACTAATCTCCCATTTGCAGGTCCCAGCTCAAAAATCATTAACGACCGTATGTGACGTGTTTCCTAAGCTTTTCAAACCATTTCAAAGCCATTCTAGAGGGATGCTTCGCGACGTCCAGCTATTCATGCCCGTCAAATACCGCCGGGCTTTTTCGATGGTGTCCAGGTGAGTCATCTGCTTTTGTTGACCAGGTATTGTTCTTATCTTTGTGCTCTCAGTCCTCCGCAGCGCAAGGTACCCATCACAATCTCACCACACATGACCCCCGTCGCGCTGCCTCTTCTTCGAATCCACGTGCGCTCTTCAGCGGCTTTTCGTCGCTGTTCCGCCACTCTCACTTCAAGACTAATGGAGAAACTGAACTTCAGCAACGCCCAACGCGGACCATCTTCTCTCGCGGACCTCGCATTGTCGACGTTCCTACAGTACAGGACAGAAAGGTAAGTTTTTGTTCGCGTGCGATTCCCAACGCCGTTGTCCAATGATTTATTTGCAGCCATTGGCTGTTGCTCCACGGCCGCGGCCGCAGCAGCAAAGCCAGCTGCACGGCCAATCCCAGCCGTCGTCATCACAAACTCAGCCTGCCACCGCCTCAACTTCCACAACACCCCCTGCACCAGGTACTCACGCTACTACACCTAGTGCAGCAGCTGCACAGTCTCCACCCATCCCATGGTGGGCTCGTCTCGTACTTTTCCTCTGTTGTGCATCTCCCTCACATGCTAACGGGCATTGATACTGTGGCATGTGGGCAACTAGTTCATCTTTGTTTCTGTCTTTATATCTTTTGCTACTCCACCAAGTTTGTTTTCTCGTTGTGACAGTCATGCAATGCATCGAATTTCATAATTCTAACCGTTGCGAGAGAAACATTATACTCGAAGAGATTGAAAACCCAGGACCAGTCCAGGCTCCTCCGTCTATCCATGGACATTCACAGTACTGCATATTTAGGTGTCAGCGAGCTCGCCTGAACATGGCCGCAGACCTCTGTGTTTTACTTATGGGATAGCAGAGACCACGGAGCGAGATATTCTTGCCCTTCATCGCGATGACCGCGGCTTCATTCACTCCGTCTGCTCCACTGCAACGTCCATTCTGCTGCGCTGTTCCATATGCATTGCACTTGAAGAACTGATACCTATGTTTACACCCGCGTATGTCTTCCACCCAACATCGAACACATTTCTTTCAGCAATTGCCACGACTCATTCCAGTCCATTTTTTGAAGCAATAACCGTGCTTTCCAAGCGTTGGGTCGTGACATGTGACAGATATGTAGAACAGCAGAGCGTAATTTATGATATTCTGAAGGCAAAATGCAGAACGAAGGGTGTGGAAGTTGTTAAATTGTAGATGGACCGAACTACTACTTGGTGGATGACCTTTTCTTGGACTCATTCTGTGTCGAACTTCGGAGTGATGTTTTGTGTTTAGTTTCAAAGGTTCCGTCAAAGGTTGGCAGAGAACAAATGACTGAAGCATGCCCTCACACATCTGATCCTTGTCACATCTATAAGTGCTCAGACCCGTGCATCACTGTCTACGCGCAACAACCACCAATGCATCTGAACGGAACCCTTCATAGTCTCGTCAAAATGCACATCTTACAATATCTCTAACGTCCTGACGTCTATCGTGCTGTGAACAGACGCCGCGTCTTTAACTTGTACTATGATAATGCAGTTTGATACGAACCTCTTGTATTCTCCACTGGGCTGCTACGCAGAAGGCGGGCTTCAGAATACAGCATTGAGGGAAGTAGAGGAGAAATGCAACGCCCACCGAACTTCGTCGCCAGCATTAGGTCCCTTACGTACAAGATGCACATCGCGCCGGTCAGACCTGAGCGCTTCATCTACACAGCAATGAAGCTGTGAAGCGAACACGAAGATGACACATGCGACGCACCTTAAAAGACAGCTTGAACGAACGGGCGCCCAACTTCCTGTTCTCTCAAGTAGACATCCATTGATCGCTGGGGTGATTTGAGCACTGTGTTCGTCTGAACGGTGCTTCTCGTGAGTGATACTGTGGGCTCTTCTGCAGATTAAAGGTGACCACTTGCTCAATACAGCGGCTTCGTCCCATACCCAGCAAAATTTCTTGTGCATTCTCGAATTACGGTGCAGCGAGTCCTGCATATACAGTGCCGAAGCTGTCTTCTAGGTGAGGACTTGATTCCTGTAAGTAGGTTGTCTCGTGAGCAATGGCTTGTGTACTCAAGCGTTAACGTGAACAAGAAGTAGGCCCCTGGACTCACCAGCAACCATTGCCGTCTCATAACCCAGTATGGATCAAAGATCTCGGCAGACTTCTCTTGCATAGATAGTCCCCAATCTGCATTACGGAATCCCCAGCGCCGACCATTTCACCATCCACCAGCGAGGCGCCAGCAATCATGTCACTCCGGACGATGCGAGGCCATACCAACTGGGTAATGGGTGTTGTCCATCTGCCCAGCGGACGACGGATAATCACATGTGCGCATGATGGCTCACTCCGATTATGGGACCTAGAGAGCGGCGCACAGATAGGTGAGGATTGGCGAGATGAAAATAACGAACAAGTGTGGTCTATGTCGTTGTCTCCAAACGGCGAGACAGTTACAAGCGGAAGCAATGACGGGACGATGAGATTGTGGAACGTCGAGACGATAAAGGTCATCGCCAAATGGACGGGACACACCAGTGTTGTGTGTGCATTGTGCTGGAGTTCAGATGGCAAGAGAGTAGCGAGTGGATCCTGGGATGGGACAGCAAGAGTATGGGATGCCAACAGCGGTGAAACTGTCCTGACAATCACAACCGGATACGATCGGGTGAACGTGGTGATGTACTCGCCTGATAACGAAAAAATCGCGACAGGCGGAGACAAAAAGAATGCAGTCAAAATCTGGGATAGCAAGACGGGCAAGCTCATCACCACACTCAAACACGATCAACCAGTTGAAAGCTTGGCATGGACGTCGGACGGAAAGAAACTTATCTCCGGTTCATATGACCTCATTAGGATATTCGACACAGCCACTATGCAGCAGATTGCCGTTCTTGAGGATCACACAAGCTTTGTTGACGTCATCACCTTGTCTTCAAACGACCGCTTCCTCGCAAGTGCATCATGGGATCAAACAGCGCGTCTATGGAATCTCGACACCAATCTCCCGATCGGACCACCCCTCCAGCATGAAGATCGTTTGGACTCCGCAGCCCTTTCTGCTGATGGAAAAACGCTAGTCACTGGTTGCCAAAACAGAAATGTGCGCGCATGGGACATTCACGCCATCCTCAAAGAAGCTGGCCTTGAAGATCTATTGCTTGTTCCTGATGTGGGTCCAAATCTCATGGCTCTTTGGCAAAGATGATGCTATTATCTTCTTCGCAGGTCATAGAGTTGCTAGACGTACGTGGTATATTTCTTGACCTTTTCGATCACTCTAACATCCATTGGCATTTTAGGCCGATGCCACGCAGGGCCAGGACGATGAACTACCATCAGACTTTTATGATGATGTGCGAGATGGTGTTCATGTGTGTCGTTAGCGTTTCGAAATCAGTTCTTAATCTGACCTCTTGATCTCAGCATTCCACAATATACAGTAACAAAATCCGTTCCTCTGCCCGCCGCCGCCCTCTCGCACACTCTTCGAGGAATACGCTCCTCAGAGGCCTTTCAACGCTCTTTCGCCGCTCTCCCTCCAACATCAATCAAGCAACCGAACTTCAGCAACGTCCAAGGCGGTCTATCTTCTCTCACAGCAGCCCTCGTGTCGTCGAGGTTGCTGCGGTGCGGGACAAAAAGGTACGTCTTTGTTCGGGTGCATTTCCAATAACTGGGGTTTGATTATTTCGATGTAGGCGCTATTTGTTGCTCCGCGGCCGAAAAAAAAAACACAGGCCCAACCACAAGGCCAAGCTCAGTCGTCGTCATCGCAATCTCAGCCTGCCGCCGCCTCGACTTCCACGACACCTCCTGCTGCCGCTGCCGCTCCCACTCCTGCTCCCGATACTAATACTGCAATACCAGGTGCAGCAACCGTGCGAGCAAACATCCTCCGGTTCTTGTCTCATCTCGTGCTCTTTCTTTGTTGCGCATACCCCCCTCAAGCTGATAGACGTTAATGCAGATACCGTATATGTGCCACTACATCGTGGTTGGCTCCGTTCTTTGGAGTGGTTACCTTACTTTCGTTGTCTTCCACTAGTTTTTAGCAAGCGCACATAAATGTCTTTACATATATCCTGCGTGGGGATCATGCATCAAGTATCTCCTTCTGCCGTCCCGATATGATCGGCCTCAACACCCTTTTGTCGACTCTTGCGAATTGTAGGTGGAAAGCAGAAACGTAGTAAGAAGCTACACGGAGCTCAGGTGGAACGCGTGGAAACGAACACCGGACTCCGCAGTTGGTCAATGTAGCTGCATCCGAAACTTACAAAGATTTCATTTGAGCGCTCTGCGTGTCATGCACAAGAGAAATAAAAATCCGTCACCCGCAGACCTGACCGTCTTCCAGACATTCCCTTTGAAGCTGCAATGACACGTGATGTCAATAAAGAAGACGGTGTTGATTGGGATTCGTCACACAAATGGCCAACTCCCTGAGCGGATCACTTCACCATGCGATGTCGAACCAAATCTTACCCCGAAGATCAACTCGGATCTTGACAACTCCGTTGAATCGCAGGTAACACTCTCATGACCCACCTACACTACTCAATGCACCCCACGGTCCTTACTTGTTTCGCATAACACTGTGGGAAGTAAAAACCATTAGATTAAGTGACAATGGGAGTGAATGTGTTAAATTCACTCCCAGTGTCACTTAATCTCTGGTTACTTGCATTCATTGACAACTGGGGACATTGAATTTCACCTGCCATTATTTAACAGCGCTGAATTTCACAATCGACAATGTTACAGCTGTGTGCGAAACTAATGGCAGTGACAAAATTTAAATTTTGGCATCCACGGTGACGAAAAAGGAAATACATAGAACAATGCGTCCAAGACACTCGCAGGCATTTATAAACTTTTCAGACAACATTGGCGACACCAGCTAGCTTGCGCAGCCCCGTCATGTAAATACTATGGTTAACCGAAGGATCAGCAACGATCTCAAAGACTGCGCACTTCGGCTGTGGAATCATGGATGGGAATTGGTGGATATCTGTGAAGCATTTGGTGTCAGTGAGAGGAGTGGTCTTGGTGGTATTCTAATTGTGGGCTTCTTCGGGGCAGACTTCTTTCCTTTCGCCATAGCAAATTGTATATATAACACGTATAGCGAAAGTATACGTAGTAGGGATGGCTAACAGTGTCTGAAAAACCTGGACAAGTCACAGAGCTTTCCCCAGCATCCAGGAGTCCCGTGTCGTTCTATGTATTTCCTTTTTCATCACCGCGGATGCCAAAATTTAAATTTTGTCACTGCCATTAGTTTCGCACACAGCTGTAATGGTATGAGATTCATTGTCAAAATTTTAATGCCACTGAATCACAGTAAGTTAATCATCATCGTTCTCGTCAACTCCCAAGTCATCAAATCCAGAAAATACAGACTCCCGTGCTCTATCAATGATCCCTGATCTCTTTCGAGTGTCAACCAATCCAACAACGGCCTTTATATTTCGAATGTCGGTAATAATGGGAGCTAACTTTGCCTGGACCCAAGTGAGTGTCTTTGCTGCATCCTGTCCGTCTGTCTTCCATGGTGTTAATAACACTAGTACTTGTTCCTTTCCGCTGAGGATGCCGAAGAACGGGTCGTTCGGAACTTGATACACTAATATTTTGTCGAGATGTCCATAGCAAATCTTGCATATGGGCTCACGGACGCCTCTGCTATATTGTAGAATTTCATACTGGACTAAATGTAAGTCTACAAGCATGAGTATGATATGAATCTACGTACACGAACATAACAATTCTTTCGTTCGTTCTGACCAGTCCTTTTCGATACAGCTTCTGTTCTGAACGAATCTCCACCGTGACGTATACGGAATTTGCCCGTGGACAACACACTCAGGCCTAGGTGAGTGGTGACTTCAGTCTTGCGCTTGCCAAGCACTTGACTGAAATAAATCGCTAGCCATCTTTCGAGGTCCTGGCTCATATGTGGGATTTTTGTGTATGGAGGTCGCAGCACATAGTCTGCGTCTTCACAGAAAGTGAGTTCGGTGTTCACTAACATATGCTAAATTGTTACTGACATTCTGGGTAGCTGCGCTCATACCCAATAGGCCCATCTCCGATATGCTCATTAACTGCCTGAAGTTCGTCTTCTAGGTCAAAGCGCGCTGCGAGTTGTTCAAGGTACGTCATATGGAGTAGGCAGTTGTTGAGGTGGCTCCATGGCTGTTGTACTGATCGTGGACCACTTTGTAGGACATGGCAAAATCGTTCCATATAGAATGACCATGTGCACCATACAGGACCACAGTCCCGAATCCATCCGCTACGTGAAGGAGGCCATGTGCTGTCAGGGTGCACACAGACAAGTGTTCACATTTGTACTGGTAATAATATCTATTGAATTGATCAATTGAGAGCTCAAGCGTTCTGAAAATGACCAACGCACTGTTCATATTTTTGAACCCATTCGCTGAGGCCATTCTTGATATCACCAACAGCCGCCATGGTAATTTGAAGACGTAGCATGGTCTTCATCAACTCTACCAATTGACACATGTGGTCGTAGTATTTGTCCTCTTTGAAACGACCATGCAGGAGAATGGGGGCGAGATAAACGAACCAGAAGCACCACGACTCTGCAGTAAATTGAGATCGATTTGATGCAATGTTGCTGAGAACCTGCACAAAAGCAGACGGGATATGTCTCACTGCCGCAGCAGTTTCCTCCCCCACCTGCTCCCATATATGTGGGGTGATTTCATAGTCCTCATCACCGCTATCGAGCCCCTTGAATTCACCCGTCCAGAGATTCACAAGATTTGGCAGGACGTTCTCGAGGAAAAGATGAAACCACTCCCATGGAAGTGAACGAGCATAATCAAGAGAACCAACACGACGCAGGGCAGGATAGCATTTGATACCGTGGGCCTTTGCAATTTTCTCCTTTTTTGCCTTGGTTGGTGCTGCGGTGATCTCTGCCAAGACATTCCCAAACTCTCTGTGCGTCCGAAGGGGCAAGATGGTGGCATCATATATAATGCGGACTGCATGAGGTGGTAGATCAAGTGGTGGCTGCAAAGGCACGTAATATGTTCGCCCGTTGCCTCGAACACCTACAATCTTGCAGGAACGACAAGGGACAATGGCGTTCACACCCTTGATGCCCAAGAATTTTTGGATGGCAATAATGTCACCGAGCTTGAAAATCAGAAAGGCATGCATGTCAAACATTGCCTGTCTGCTCGCATCAAAAGTGGGCACTCCCAACGCTAGCTGAGCTGCTTCGTCATCCAGTGGTGACATGAATGACTCCATATCCTTTGGTTGGTTAGGTCCAGGAATAACGCCAAGGCAAATTAGATTGGAGAGTCGAGTGCGTATATTGGGAGGGAGATTATAGTTTTGGATCAAAATGGGGGTTGCGGATGGGCCATTTCGCCGGCGCTTGTACAGCAGATAGCTATCTGTGCACAAGCTAAGTGCAATGTCACAAGGGTCTGAAAAGTAATGATAGGGGAGCTTTGCTCCGTCCACGACAACTTTGTGGTGACAGAGCTGCTGGTAGTGAGAGGAGTCAAAGACGTCCCTCATGTACCTGGGGTCGGACCTGTACTCTGCACGATATGACATCTTCGCAATGAGCTCGGGCTTCTGGAAAAAACCCTGAAGGCGAGGAATGAGGGGAAGGTAGCAAAATCTTCGCCTGGCTTTTCCTCTGCTGTCTAAGCGTGGCTCACCACAGTACTCGCAGAATTGGTTGTGTACATATTTCTCCGTGTATGCCATGCATGAATTGACACAGCAGTCGTGGTAATGTGGTTTGACGCCGGAGAGTATTGCAATGCGACGTAGAATGATAAATTGTGAGTCTAGGGGCAGTCTGTCCCTGAGTGCAAAACACAGTTGGTCATAGGCACGACGAGTGGTATGACTCGTCATTTGCCATTTGAACAGCTGGATGTTATCGCGGTCTGCTTGTGACAGTACATCATTTCCTAGCAGGGCACTTTCAGAGATTGGCTGTTAAGTTATGACACGACTTACGAATGTCGAACAGATCTTCCTCTCGCTGCATCTCCAGCAATTCTTCTAACATGTCGTCACTGTACCCTGCTATATCTGCATCCAAATCGTCACCTTCTGCCCATGCCCACTCTGAATCTGTGATCCAGGAGTTCTCTGAGGCTTCACTTCCAGATGTCTTCATGTCTCCATCGGATTCTACATCCATCTCGTCATCTTGCACGTTCTGTGAGAATCCTCGAAATTCTGATTCCTCTGAAATATCCGAGTCCGAACTATGACTGCTATCTGAGTCAGTTATATTGGCATCTTGGCTGTGCGAGTCGTCTTCAAATTCTGAAGCTTCAATCTGACTCTCCTCGCCATGGGCAGCGGCCTCACGATAATGTCTGCGACGTTGAGAAAGGCTCAATAGCTTGTTGCAGGTGGGCTTGCATTTGCAGTGTTTCTTGCGGTCATCTCGTGCCATGGTGTAGGTTGCAGCTAGACACGTGGCTGATGGGTTCTGAGGCGCTAAGATTGCGGCCGAGTCACCGGCGAAAATGCGGCTCATTGTCATCTACAATATGGGTTACATCTGTAAGACTTGGCACAAATACTAGCGCTGCGCTCATGGCCTTCTTTTTCTCGTTGTGTTCCCATTTGGGATTCATCCTCAGGTGGCCTTTCTCTCCCGTCTGCCGGCAGCATTCCTCTTCCTCGTGGGTTCGAAGTTTTCTGCCAGCAAGGATGTTCCAAGGGGCAAACACAAGACCTGCATGAAAAAACGTGAGTTGAGGCATCAGAGAGAGAAGAATACGGGATGGCGTACTGCGCAGCTGCGCTAGTGCTCCTTCGCTAAGAAAAGGTTTGTGTCAATACAGGGCAGGTAAAAGATCGTGCACACCTCAATGTCAATGTACGCTCTATGATGGAGAGACCATCAGCACTATGTGTAGTTCGACTGATGGTCCAGAGTGTATGTTGAATATTACATAATTGTTTGTGTTTGTTTGGTAGAAGTTGGTGTTACTCATGTCGTCGTTCAATTTTACTCTTTAGATGTCAGGTGAGGTGCTCGATGCGGCTGGAGGTCTCCGCTCCTGCACCAATGAACCTTACATCGCCCCCCTCGTGAGTTTGCAAGTACTCATACCAATACGCAAAGCGGTTGTCGTCATGACGGCTGTTGATATCGATGCTCCTCGGGCCTAGCTTTGGTCCTTCGTTGGTGGATCTGGTGCGCTCCCCTGCCAAGATCTGCGGGAGGTCTGGGTTCATCCCCCTAGCCGTTTGGGTGATTTGGAGGCACCACATGTTGTGCGCCTGCTGGTTTATTGAGGTCCCAGCACCTTGAAGGTTTGTTTTTCTAACCTTAACCCTAGCCAGTTAATTAACTGAGTCACTGGATAGACAGCCAGCTACACGAGGCATATTTTCGAACGAGACACCTGCGTCTCCTTGTCGTCACCGCTAAACCCTCAAATGCAGCTACTTCCCCCAACCTTCTGCTCCCAGTACCGTCGCACCACAGCACTTCCTTAAAGTGTCTTACATCCGTCAACGTTGCCGACACGCATTTCTTCTCGTTCACCACAAACAGCACGAAGAAATCGCCCACATTAGTAAGAAGTGTGTCTGTCTCTTCCTTGTAATTTACCGTTGACTGAACGTTGCCAGATTCATCGCTTCCGCTGGTACATATGCCAACCTCGTCAAGTGCGTTTCCACTTCGAGGATATCCGCAAACTCCCTCCTCCCATCATTGCATTCGACGCACTCTCGGGAAACCCGTAAGCAAACCCGCTTTCGTACCCTGGCTGGCTATCGTGGCTAATCTGTTTCCCAGTACTACTTTACATTCATCGCAGTTTCTTTGCGCAGGCTATCATCGAGAACCCTGTGAATCCGTTAAAGAGCGCTTATGCGCCATCATTCCTGGCTGCTTACCGGGCGTCCATCCAGCAAGCGTTTCAGGAATATCCTAGTCAATGTGCTCGCTTTTGGACTGTCTGGACTTTTGCATTTTCTGCTGCTGTAAGCATTTTGTTTGGTTTCGACGACGATTGCAGCTGATAGCCAGATAGATCGTCTTTGGGACAATTGTCACTCGAGGTCCACAATCTCCACTGGCGTCTAATGCTATGAAGGAACTGGATGACGCCTGCCGTCTTTTCTCAAAAGCAGCTGCACATAGCAGATGTGCTGCTCAAGCTCTGGTCAGTGTTCGCTGTTATTTCACTTAGTACACTATGTGATGGAGACCATACCACAGCCAATCCTTATGAAACTGAGCGAAAAGGCCCACGCATCCCCTGCTGCTGCTCTGAACGAACGGCCATCACAACAGCTAGGGCAGCAATGGAGCATCAAAGTGGAGCAAGACGACGATGAACTCGAAATCTTTGCTGGAAAAACTAGATTCGTTTCAACGAAGCGAGCTTCAGGACTGCCTGTAGACTATCCGGAGGCATCTGCGTCTGCGTCGTCTTCTTCTAATAGCAACACATATCTAGTAGCAGGTTCCACCGAGCAACAAACCGCGCAATTATATCACCCGGAGCCTACGGCTGACTGGGTTCATTCGGCTTCGAACCGTGGTAGTCGTTATGATATGCATCGTTCGGACAATTCCGGTACACCTAGTGCAAGCACTAGCGTTCCGACCCAGCTATGGCGACAGCCCCAGAGTTCTGATTATGCATATGCTCCCCAGCATCATGTATCTCATTCAGCTGCACCACATGCGCACCCTACGCACCATGTAGCGACGAACGCGGGTTCAGACGGTGCTGGTACAGCCAAAGAAGTCCATTCGTATCGTTGCCAAAGAGCGAGAGGGACGAGGAGAAGTCCATCATTGGACTGTTAAGTACGCTTTCCACATCGTAGTACCATAAATATTCATTTAATTGTTTAAATTGCTCTTGCCCAATTTGCCAGTGTAAATTCAAACTCCGACCTCCTTACGACGTGTCGGTCACATATGCAGGAACGTCTATTTGCCCCTCACGCTTTTACCTTCCTGCACTATCAACATGCCGAAATCAAAATCAAAAACAGACAAACACCACCGTCTGAACGCGCTTGGTCGCTCTATGACCGATTTGCACCACCAGTTTAGTTCACACAGACGTGAGTTGCCTTCAATTCATGCCTCAAACATTTGACTCAAATATTATATTCATTAGGGAAAGAACACATTAAACGGGCTGAACGACGATACAAGACACACCCTAGGAACCAGAAGAACAACCATCCTATTCCGAAACCCAAGGGCCGCGCAGGGCGAAAAGATGGCTACAAGTTAATTGAGGCTATGGGTCTGGTGGACAGGAAGGAACACTACAATGCGCTCGTCGTCAGTTCAATTTATATACTGCTGCTTAATGTATGCTAACCCTGCAGATGGCGGCAGGATAGGGTACATATGCTTGCCGACAGGTATCTGAAAGACAATGTGACGATCTCGGGTCAAGACAAACTTCTGGTCCAGAATATCATGCGAAAGGTGCGATATATGCACCTATATCTTATTCACTCTTATTTGATGGATCGGAAAAATCAGGCGCAGAGTACCTCACGCACCTTGCAAAAGTTTGACCAAGGCTGGCCCGTTTATGATATGCTGGCGCAGTATCTGCGCAACCGTAATGCTTATAATAAAAAAAAAAAGCACAAGAGTTCTTGTTTTGTGCGCATATATTCTGACTTTTGTCCCCTAGCACCGCTTGGCAGACTTGGTTGATACTGGTGACAGCTCAGATTCTGATTCCAATGCGACAGATTTGGACTTGGACTCCACGGATTCAGACTCGGACTCCATGCATTCAGACTTGGACTCCCGCCAACGACATCATGGTATATATTTCTTGCATATATGCTATCACGATCTCACATTACGAGACCAACAGATACTGCATCAGAGGATGAGGAGACCGATTTTCAAGGATTCGGTAATAGTAACTGTCACCAGACAAAGAAGGCACGTGTATCGGACACCAATGCACCATCACATCGCAGAATTGTGATATAATTGACTGATGACCAGCTCACCCAGATCGGCAAAAGGTTGCCCCGGAAGCCACCTACATCTAAGCTGGCAGCCTTGACGTCCTCACAGAAGGTATGTCAGCATCTTTCGAGCATCACTCTACTCAATATGTCTAGGCTCCGTCGAAGAAATCTTCTAACATGTGCATGGTCCGGAAGTCCAAAGCTCCACAATCACGACTGAAACCCAAGGTGTGTGATTCAGTATTGTTGCACGTCATATGACATACTATCACCTCAGGAAACTGAATCCGTGAAACAGTCCGGCAAGAGAAAGGACAAAGATGTACGTTCTGCTACCTCAGTGTTTCTGGCAGGACTGGATGATTTGTGTTCATGGATGATTCAGGAGGATTATTCAGATTCTGACGTACCGACTATAAAATTCAGAAGGCTCGAGGTATATTTAATTTCTTGTTTGACCAACCTTAATGTCATATGTACTGCATCTGCAGAGATATGACAGCGCTCGTGATAAAACAGGGAGCAAACAAGTCAGTGTTCCTGAGCCAGATGAGCCTGCCCAAGTACGTTCAACTTTATTCTACTTTCTAGGATTGAATATGAATATTATAGGATTCGGGGCTGGAGGCACTCGACAACACCAACACATCTGATCGGATCTCTGGAGCTTCCTCTATCTTTGACTCTCCTGCTCGTGATGCACATCCTTCTGTCTTTGATCAGGATTCTGATGACGACGAACTCGAACCACTGGATGACTGCGACGACAACAGCAAATTTGTCTCTGCTCACGATATTCCTACGATCTGCCCGAAGCACCATTGCAATGACGAAATACCTCGCAGCCCATCTTCAAAGCTGTACGATGCCTTGGAAAACTATGTCAAGCTGACTCGCACGCAGGGACATTCGACTGTCCGGTCTCTAACGCTCTCGTTCAGCATTTGCGCAATGATCAAGGATGGAGTGCAACGAGAAATCCACCTGAATGACGCGGTTGAACGAGGATGGCCTGTACTTGAAGTGGATTTTACTCAAATTCCTGCCCGTGTGTACGAGCTGAAGGAGAGACTCGACATAATCATTTTTGCCTCACCTTCTTCGATTCATGACCTCAAGGCGTCTCCTTTTAGCGACTTCCTCAAGGATATGGCTGCAGATAATTTCACTCTTCAACGTCTTGCGGATGTTCCCATCTTCAACAAAGAGAGCAGGATCCTTGCGAACGCGATGCCAGGATAGTGAGTCTCTTAGTTGCACCTCCGAATCCCCCAAAATCACAAATATTTGTAGCTAGGGACCTAAAGGCAAAGCCATCATCAAGGCATCACTACTCCGCATGTACCCTCCAGAATTCACGCCCAGCAATCTCTTCAACCCATTGAGGACCGAAAAGTTCCTCGAGTACTTTGGTGTTTGTCTTGTCGGAGCTGAGTTAATCTCGTGAGACCTTGGTGTGGATATGAGCGAGGCCTGTGGTATCGCTTCGCAAAGTCTTCCTCATGGAGCTTACCTTTTTCCGGATGATGACGATGACATTGAACTGGACGAGATCCTGCACAGTATCATGCTTGGTGTATGGGACGATCAGCGGGAAAGGGCAAAGCTTAATGAGGCTAAGGAGAAGCAGCGTCCAACAAATGGTGTAACGCAGCCAAGTTGGATGTTAAAAATGTTCAGGGATACTCCGAGTCCGACGGTGTGTGTCTACCTGTCATAGTCTTGTTCGCTGACATACATTTGACATTCATCTAGCAGAACGAAGATGTCACTGATCCTGTCGTGCGGAGGAAGCCAAAGAAGGTAGTGCAGGTCGGCAACAAAACTTCCTCGTATTGTAACTCTGTGACGTGGATGACTAACTACTACCCTTACACAGACTGTAGCGCCAACGAAGACCCACCAGACACGCTTGCGGACTTCTACAATTCACGGCCATGCATGATGCCACTTCAAGGATCCGAAATACTTATCTTCGCTTGGGATGTTATCACCACTACTTGCTCGTCTGCTTCATTCTCCGGACAGTCTTTTGCTCTCTCTTCGGTAGTCGCTCATCTGCTTCATTCTCTGGACGGCCCCTGCAATCTGGTCAGCGTGCTGGTCTCTCAAGTCTCCAAGTCTATTATAGTTATGCAGTAATGTGTAATGTGTGTTAATATGTCATTTTTTTTGTCCGTACACCTGCTGGGTAGACAGCACAGCATCACGACACTGAATTTGCATCATCCAATTTGTATTGCGACACTGAATTTGCTGCGACAATGAATTTGGGTCAGACAATTAATTTGAGTCAGACAATGATTCTCACACCGACATTAAATTCAATGTTTGTCAATGAGCGATTCAGTGTCGCACGGCGGCACTGATTTACATCAACTGTCAATTAATGTCATAGCTTTCAGCACTGATCATGAAGGTCTTTGGTATTGATGTTCATTGTCTCCACTGCCCTCAGTGTAATGTATGTGGACTCTGCACATTATCGCGTGATCAGCTAGCTCCATGTCGGCAGGGGTTTCCGGTTCAAAGGCGAGCCTAGAATCTGCCAGATCACTCTAGGTACCCTTTCAATTTTGCTGCACAATCAGGCTGGTCTCCCGGTATACTCACATTCGCAGTCTAGGACTCTTCATCTCCGAGGCCTCTGTATTTCGCTGGTAAGCAATATTATGCCAACTTCCCTGATAACCCGCTTACTAAGTGTCGTTAGTGTAACTAACTAAGGTTCTGCAAAATAGACTTGTGCCGTTGTACGACAGGCGAGTGAATAAGTCTATTTTGCACACTGATCTGAGTCAGACAAGACTGAGTATCTGACTTAGATAGTTGGAGACTAGGTGCAAACAACATCGACACGAGTTTCGTCAGTTGGGGTGGGGTTTTCCGGTCGTGGCCTGCTTCAGCTTTTGCCGGGTCACGCTGACAAGAATATCCGCTGAGTTCGGCGGCAATTGAGATCATTGTCGGGCGAAGCGAAAAGAGGTCGAATGCATGCAGGATGGAGAGCGCGAAAACATCGACCAGCGGATGAGAGCCAGCATGAAACCTCGAGTGTGAGGCATGAGTTTTTGAGGAGTTTTCTAAAGCACGACACAACCCACAATGAGCAAGTGCTTACACAAAGTCGTGCAGAAAACACCGACACCCCAACTGGCGAAGACTTGCGAAATAATGCGAGCGCATGAGTGCGAGTGAGAAATTATTCATTATCTAACAATATCTACATTCGTATGAGTCCATTGAAGCTCTAACAAGAGAGAAACGTGAGTCCTGCAGTGAACTGGAAGTAAAAGTGGGGATGATAGAGTCAATGCGTCGCCAGTAGTCCATAAATGATCTCGATTTCCAGCAACCCTGAGCAGCTACAATATCCGGTGGGTTTCCGCGGAGTAGCAGTTCAGTAGCCCCCCCGATGCGGAAGCAATGACCTGTAAGTGTGTCCAACCCAGACGCTCTCCATATGTCGTTACATCTTGTTATGAACCAAGGCCTGGTGAGTGGTGCCCAACCCGAGTCTGTTTCGAATGCGAAGAGCGGGGCAAAGGGTGGTACTGAAGAGTTGGCTGACAAGTGGTGCATGAGAGCGTTGTAGGGATTTGTGGGATCGTCGATCCTTGTTATAGACACTGCGTCACCCTCTCCTTGTGTGGTTTTAGACCACGGAATGCGCAGGGAGGCGAACTTGACACCGCCGTCGGTTGCGCGATGAGTGATTGGTGCGGAGCGTGATACGTGGTGAGAGGCATCGAAGCCGTGAAGGGAAGGAATGATAAGTTCACCGAGTCTGTGAAACGAGTCAGTGAACGGTCAACGAGAACCATGCGAGTGTTGCACCTGCAGCAAGACCAAAAAGCGATACTGGCTACGCCATAAACAGCGGCGTCGAAAGAGTTGGAAAGGTCAAGATGACGGAAGAGCATGTGCATGTGGTCCAGAGTGACTGGAGGTCTGCGGGGACGCTTAGAAGTGTCTGGGACCACTTTAGCCAGACCTTGTTTAGCCCTGCAAACTATAGCGTGACCATGCCACTGCGCGCCGTTGAGTTGATGCCAGAAGTGAAGTCCCGCGAGCCAGTTGTCTGCAGTCGTTTCTGCTACGCGACCCGCCCAAGAAGATATGAATGCTGCTATAATGTATTCTGATGCTGGAAGGCGACGATCCTCGGGAATAGAGATGGAGTTGCAGAATTGGTGAAACCTTAGGAGGCCTGCTCCATAGTTCTCCCTGGTCTTTGGCTCTACTGAAATTAAGAGGACGTCGAGGAGGCGTGATGCTGTCGCGAGTGGAAGATCGTTCAGAAGATTCAAATGGAATGAAGTTGAATGAGGCGCAGACCAGAGGCGAACCCTGTCGCGTGCAAGAACATGAGGACGGAAGATAGACGATGCGATGATATTAGCTGGTTTAGGTTTGCGGGGCTTAGGGATCTTGTGAGCAGCGGTGGGCGGCACTCCGATTTTGGGTGGCTTCTTCAAAGCGTTCCGAAGACGGACCAAGGCTGTCACCATGTCAGCATCAGCTGACTCTGACGAAGGGGCGTCAGACATGAGGAGGGATGAAGGGTTCCAGCTCTGGGGGCAGCTGGATTATGGGTAGACGAGTGCTCGCTGGACCCGTCTCGCCACGAGAAACGGAGTCTGCCTTGTTCGTGAGCGACTTGACGTAAGTCAAATGATAAAGCATGTTAGAGTCCATTGCAATGGCTTCCACGTGATGGATGCAAGAGTTAACCTGGAAGTTCCTGCTTCGACCGTGCTTGAAGGCCCCAATGATTCCTTGGTTGTCTGAGTGGATCAGGACAGCCCGATCCTTCCAGCCGAAGGTGAGTAGTGTGATCACCGCCAGCTCGACAGCGATGGCCTCGAGCCATCCGATGTCACGTCCTTCTCCCTTCCAGCCCGCTGTGATATGCCATGCGCTCCACTTCTCGCCCAGGACGAGGCCAATACCCCAGTCCGTTGAGGCGTCGACCCAAAGGTCTATGTCTTGAGGTGGACCTCTGGGTGTGAGGTGACGTGCAGGGGGTGGTCGAGATAGCGTGGATCTCCACCACTTCAGGTCTGAGAGCACTGATGGCGGTGGCTTTCTGGGCGCGAAACAAGAGTCTGGTGGGAACTGGGAAATGAAGCGGCAGAGGTTGGACAGGTATGCCCTACCGTGAGGAATGACGAAGGCGACATGTGATAGTGTTCCGTTGATGCTCATGGCGTCCTTGTACGACATGAATGGTGACATGGACAGGGCTAGCAGAACACTCTCCAGCTTAGCGAGGTATTTGAGACGTTTGGGCTCGGGCAGAGACACTGACCGCTCAATGAGGTCCCAGAGGAAGCCAAGGTACGTGAAGATGAGGCGGACGACACCGCGCAACGTAGAGAGGCGGACGACACCGCGCAAGTAAAGAGCTTAGCTGGGCGCATATATGCGCCCAGCTTCGCAAGAAAGGGGAGAAGGGGCGGGCGACACCGCACGAGGCAAATGTGGACACTTACGATCTCTGCTATTTGTGCTGCTGTGCCCCAGGCGGTTGGGAAGTCGTCAGCGTCGAGATGCTTGTTGACTGAATATCCATCTTCTTTGTTGATGTACGAGAGATCCCTGATGATGCGAAATTTTCCGGGCGAGCCGGCTTTCTCCACTAGGCCAAGCGGGGAGGAGACAAAGAAGCCCCCCAGTTTGGCTTCTACTTGAGCTGCTGAAAACGGTCCTGACATGCGATTGAGTGTGACTTCTTCTTCTAGGTATGAACGGATGACGTCCGGGTTATCTAAAGCTGATTTGTGGTTAGGTGGAGTGTACGAGCGGGTGAGAACTGGCATGTTGCCAATGGGAAAACCGTGTCTGATATTATGCGCGAGGTCAGGGTATTGTGATGTAAGGTTGAACTTGAGTAAGAGTCGCTCGAAGGCGTTGGCACTGTACGGTGTGACGATGCGGTGCAGGATGTCATCAGCACAGTTTGGCTGAAGCGGCGTGTGTTTTGCTGCCGCAGACGGAGCAGACGTGAATGATGTCTGCTCCGTGCTTGCCCGGGATGCAACGCCCGATGTTGTGTGAGATGCAGACGATGGCGGAGGATGACTTGAGGATGATCTTGTCATGCCATACGCAGACGAGAGGAGCGTTCTTGGCTGAGTGTGTATAGGTGCAGTCACTGGCTTCATCAGGAAAACCCTCTGATACAAACATATACTAAGTATGTCAAGATTAATAAAATTTTCTCTCATTCATTGTAGTTTCACAAAATTAGATGTCTTAGCAGATTAGAGAACCTTTTTTACTGCCCCACCAGATCTTACTCCTGCGCACTAATTTATTGATGATTTTAAATAAATTCACAAACTTACAAGTCATCAAGGATCTTATTTTGACGGTCTGTTCAGGATTTCATTGATTTCATTCAAACATTTTAACTTACTCCTGTGCACTAAGTTAGTGATGATTTTAAATAAATTCACAAACTTACAAGTTATCAAGGATCTTATTTTGACAGTCTGTTCAGGATTTCATTGATTTCGTTCCAACATTTTACAAGAACAAATTAAGTTTTCATTAAAAGAGGGGTATATCAGCATAGCTTGTAGAATACGAGACAATAAAGGAGCGTTGAGAATGATATACGTGAATGCAATTATATAAAATGATGAGACCGCAACTTGGAAATCTACTCCTCGTCATCCATGCCAGCAATATTGAGGAAAGCCATCGCAGACTCGTGTGATCCAACTAAAGTGTTGTTGCCATGGGTGCAGAGTTTCCTTGTGAGGTGTGAGACTTGGACAGATGAGTTGGCGCAGCGCAGAAATGGACTCACTGGATAGCCTCGAAAATGTCAGCCATCATCTTGTGAAACTTGCGTGGCGCCGTCACCTTCATGTCTTCAAGAAATTTCACATGAAAAAAGTAGACCTCGCTGAATAGATTGCCAGTAAAATTGAATTTCGATGGAGATCCATTAGCCTTCCAGAAGAGTGCAGCATACACCTATACACTCATTGTTAGTACATGCACTCGGACCCAGAGTATGTCAATAAATATACCGAAGTACTCATTAAGGCGACCATTGGAATTGTAACTTCGGGCCGCTGGGCCTTGTTTTGCGCAATCTCCTTGAAACGGTCTGAAAATTTCATGCCAACTGACTTTAGCCCATTGAAGTAGCGCCCCTTCATTAGATATGGTAAGATATCAGCGAAGTATGGCTTTTTTGGCTGTGGAATGGGGTCGTTCTTCTCCTGGAGAGTGTGCACGGTGTTGAGCAAATCAATTTGTGCAACCCAGAACATAGCCACCTACATTGAAATGCTGTTCATAATGGTAGACGTGGTTGACCAGCAAAGCCTTCGCAGTGTCGACACAATCAGGGCCAAGACGATAGTATGACGTCACTTGAGCACAAGCGTCGTCTTTTAATTCAGTGCGGAAAAGTGGCACTCGGGCTTCAATCTGTATGCGAGGTTCAACCAATTAGTAATATTGCGAAGAGTCCAACTCTTGAGCATACCAGCGTGGCGAGAGCTGTCACATACGAGTCATCAGTCTTGAGGTGATCCTTGATGGGCAGGACACTGCAGGCGCGAGCTGCTGTTAAGAGTGCATCCCGCGTAAACAGGCTCTTCTCGGTGAGCTCCGGATAGCCGTTGACAAATGTCAAGTGAACTTTTGCCTCCAAGATCGCTCTTTGGACCACACGACGGGTGTCAATATCTTGGTCCATCAGCTTCAACTTACCAGTGTCTGTCCATACAAGTGTGGGCCTTCTAGAGTGATCTGGGTTGTCCTCCTCGGAGTCGTCTAACACCATGATGGGCTCATGTTCCTCATCTGACACGACGACTTGAGTATCTGCCCAAACAGGTGTCTGGAGAGTCCAAAACATCATTCGAACACGAGATAACTGTGAGAGAACTTTCACTCACCTCATCTGCTCGTTTACGATCACGCGCAGACTTAGATTTTGTTTTCTGAGGGGTATTATTATTTCAACATGGAGGTAAGTATCCAAGCCAACTTACCTTGGTAGCCCTTGGTTGAGCCGACGGAAAGGGGAATGGTTGAGCCGCCCGCATCAGCTCCTTCGAGGTAGTTGTACGAGGCCAGGTGGGTTGGGTCAAAGGGAGGTCAGTCTGTTCTGCCTTCGACCTCGAAACAAACACTGGTGTCTGAGGGAAATAAATTGAAGGTACAATCAGTTACTACTATGAACAATGTCACTTACTTCGGCTGATAAGGACTTGGGCTCCTCCAAGTCGTCTTCAATTTCCTCCTCCTCGCTGTCCTTCTCCGAGTCATTGTGACTAGGTCGAGAATCAGAGATCTCATCGACAGGTTCATCGCTTGAAAATTCATTGTCGATTGGTTGGGAGGTGTGTGACCATAGTTCCTTTTCTTTTCCTGCAAAACCTGTGAGTTTGCTGAACCGACAACTAGACACCGTTATGCTAACTGACCTTTCTTTTGCGTGTGCTTGACAGTGCTCATGAGGCCTTCATTGATATCGACATCGATATCGGAATCTGCATATGGTTTGGTGACTGTACCCGGCCCCCAAAGATTAGTCATCATGGAATCAGTCCGGATCAGTGCTCACCTCGGCGCTTCTTAGTATTTGCTTTTCCTTTAGATGTTTCACCCACGACTATGTACCCATGTAAGTGTACTGACCCTGGACTCGGTTCAGATACTTACCTCAACGCTTTTTAGCTGCAAGCCCTAGGATCTCATCTGGGGTATCGGGCCGACTACTAGTAACTTGTGCTACACCACCATCGTGGCGGCCATGCTTGGTTACAGACACGTGAGCTTTCCTTTGTGCAGTTGTTTTCTTCATCACAGTGGGCTTTTCTGGAGCTGGGCGCTGCCGCTGTGGTCTTGTAGTCATCCAGACTAGTACAATATCCAGTAAGTGCTCAAATCTCAACTGGTTCAACCACGTACTGACCTGCATTCTCCATAGCTCTTTTTTTTGCACCTCGTTCACCTGTTGCAACAACAGGTATTCACAGTTGTTTGTATCTGTTATAGTGGTAAGTACTTACTCCTGGCGGGCTGACTGGAACCTGTATTATTGCTGGGTGACATGCTAACTTGAAGGGTATGGTAAATGAGCGGGTGGGTTTTGAAGTTGTAAATAATGTAACGGGGGGATAGCTAATTGCATCCCACCACTGAGTACTGATATTTATGTATCTCGCAGGGACGGTGTCATCGCCACTGGGCAAAACCAACTCACATATGCACAGGTTCCAAAACGAGCATGGTTTTTGGGTGTCCCTTTTGGATTAGTCCAGGTCCATAGCCCAAGCGCTCTACTGTGCCGGGTTATGTAATATGGTTCGACACGTCTAGAAATGTTTTACAGCTGTAATTCATTGTAAAATAATCTAATAGAAAGTTTGCATGCAATTTATGTCCGAGTGTGAGTTTGTGACGGCCCTGTGCGAGCATCCATTTCACCTCAGTCGAACATCTGTTTGCCTGAAAACGAAACACAGAGAAACGAACAAACGCACAAATGCACAGACACGAACAAAACGCACAAAAGCGAACAAAACACACAGAAAAAAAGGTTGCAGAACGGGTCCATAGTATGATAGTACAATAGACGTGATCATGTACAAACTAAGCTAAAAAGTAATGCGATATCTACTGCACCCCAGCCATCATCATCATGTCGAGTTGAGCTAATACATTAGTCGATCGAACCTGCAAGTCCCCAATGCATAACATATGAGATTTCCGATAGTCGAACACAATTCTCTGGACACCGTCCATGTTGCCAATGTAGCGCACAATGTCCTCGAATGTCTCACTCCCTTCGTGTTGCGTGAATGGCAGGATGACTGGTGGATGGGGAATCTGCTCCCGCAGCGCTAATTTCACAGCTGCACCAATAGCACCAAAGGCGTAGTTGAGTTGTTGATGTCGATGTAACGCCGAGGTGGAGAGGAATTGTGAGATACCGAGGTCGCTACACCATATGAATTGAACGGCAACATGAAAAATCAGGGGATTGTCGAGAACCCCGTCAAGTATGGTGACATGCCCGCTCTGAAAAAAGATCACAATTTGGTATTTAGAAAGAAAATTGAACGTACTGCGTCGACCGTAAACCTATTCATGAAGGCCAACGGGTTACGAGTGTCGTTAAGCAATGCGGTTATGACACGACCCCGAAATTGGACTGGTTGGAGATTGGACTCTAGCGGGGGGGTAGAAAGTGTAGCCCAAGGCGAGACAACTCCGTACCATGTCCAATAGCTTCCGAAAACAGCCGTTCCAGGCGGCTGTCACCTGCTGACGTTCACTACTTGTCGTTCGGATTGTAACTACAATGAATCAGTATTCAACTCCGCAAATTATATGTAAACACGTACCATTCATACCTGGCATGGAAGACGACTCTGAAATCGCGAGAGAAACAAGCGCCGCCCTCTCACCATCAGTACCGGCCATTGCAGATGCCGTCAAGAAGAATCGTAAGATTCTTCTTTTTGCAGAATTGAGGATCTGTTTTTTGACAAGGGAATTGACGTTAATGAGGGCTGGTGTAGTTGGCTGCACAGCAGCAGGACCAGGAAAGATGGCAGGGGCCGCTGGTGCAACTCCGCTAGCAGTAATTGCTGGCTGCATAGCAACAAACTTGAGTGACAAAGGGACCAGTGTGCTTGGCCGTGAAGCAACAGGGGCAGCAATCGTGGATGGGATAGCAAGGGCAGCCATCGTAGCTGTTGGCTCAGGTGGCCGAAGGACCCTGGGTTCAGGTATGAAATATGGCGTGAAGGAGGGTCGAGGGCGATGATTTCTCTCAGGATGCTGTGACGACCCTGCCAGCATCTGGGGAACTGGCGGGTTGTATAAAGAGTCGAGTTGCGCAGAGTAAGGGATTACAGGGTAGACGTCATCACCGGCATCAAGTGGTTTGCTGGTGCTAGATGACGGCGCGGGGGGTGGAGCATCCATCTCGGACGTGAGCAATTGTAGACTATTAGTTGTTGCATATGGATAGACACCATCACCAGCGTCAAGTGGTTCAAGTGTGCTAGATGATGGCGTGGGGGGTGGAGCATCCATCTCGGACGTTAGCGATTTTAGACTACTTGTAGTCATTGCATATTGTGGGTCGGTCATACAGAGGAACCTTGAAAGTGGGTCCCCCTCATCATCTGCTTCAAGTTGATCTGTCAACAAGCGACGAGTGTATTACTGGCTTGGGTACTCACCGTTTAAATTCGGATTTCTATCTGCATAGTCTGACAACGAGAACCTGTCTTGAAGCTGGCCAGGGAAGTGTGGATATTCATTGTCATCCGGCGGCTGCATACTTTGCTGGAAGCAAATACTGGCAGTAGGAAACAAGGAGTTGCGAGATCACGGCGAGAGAGCTGGCATAACGTGCCAGAAACATGTAGAATCCTGATACATAATGAAGACTCAATAGAATAGAGCCGAGCCAGTGGTCATATAATCGCGATCCAATACCTAGCGGTCCTAATCATGAGAAGAGTGATATGCTGCTATCAGTAGTGTAAGACTGAGCACGACTATTTCATGTACAATGACAGATGGGGAATGGAGGCAAAAACTGAATTGACTCACGATGAGCATATCGGTTGGGCGATTAAACTGGGGCGTTCACGTTTGCAGCTGATTACAGATCGATTTGAAGCCTCGAGTCTATGGGCTTGGCGGGTAAGCGGCCTTACAGTTGCAATTGGGTAATACAAGTAGCCACAGATGCCGGAACATGCAAGAATCAATGACTTATATGGACTGTTTAAACGACTACATATATGGAGCGTTCAAACGACGACATATATGGCAAAAATCAACCGAGCCTTCCATACGCCAATTAATATGTATTGTATTGATGCCATCATAGATATCATGTTAATTCTTGTTTCAGGTGATAAGACGAGCAAGAGTGTAACAACACATGCATTTGACAGGTGTCTACAACATCGTAAGTGCATACAAAAATTCACAAATCGCCATGAAGTAATAGATACCTCCATATCAATAATGATCACGAGAAACAGATATTGAACATGAGACAAGAAGAGTGATTGGAGTGGTAAAAGGGAGCCTGCAACTTGCGATGAGTTGAATGGTAATACTTGAAAGGAGGATTTCCCATACCACTGAAAGGGCGACTATCAGTCAGCTGACAACCTAGAGCCTGCGCCTTCACCTGAATCCTCAGAGTCATGATCTGAATCATCTGGGGGCAGGTCTGCGTAAGACCCATCACTCAAATCTGGATCTGAGTGTTCAGAGGGTTCCCTAGTGCCGATGCAGGAGAGTCCACCATTAGGGTGAAGAGGAAATGCCGCAGCAGGTTTCAAAAATGCATGTTTAACACGTGAATTGAGGAGGGTTGCAACCTGGTCAGTTTGGGCACTAGTGATGCGGAGGATCTCACATTCATCTTCAAAGACAGCTTGAAGATATTTTCTATCATCCTCAAGTTTCCGCCTGCCCACGCTGTGAAAAAATCCTCCTAAAGTCGTGCAATTCCCCATCTGCCATCTTGAACCGTTGTTCGTTTTCACCATAGATGGCAATGAGCAATTCTTCATACTGTGCAGCCTCGTCAATTTCCCACGTCGCCAACACCATGCGTTGGCGCGCAACCTCGCGACTTGCGAGCTTGGCCTTGTATCCTTTGTACAAGGTTGCAGTCGTCATTTGAGAAAGGCCACTCTCCAACTGTTCTTGAAACTTTCAGACCACGTCAATGAGTTATCAATGTCTAGAAGTAAATATGGCATACCTTCTGTGTTGCTTCCAATGAGAATTCTGGTTGGAATTGGACTTCATCATCCGAGCTGCATAACGAAGCTCCAATGGAGCTGGATTGGGGGGGTATGGAAATGTTTCCTTGATGTCCGAGACTTTGATGTTTTGTCATGTGTAACAAATGTGCTCTCTTTCGCTTCAGAAGGCGTAGTAGTTTGCCATCCTCTGAAAGGCTCTAGATTATGCGGCATGTAAATCTGTATTCATCGTAATTGAAGAGCCTGATCGTTGGCCTTGAATTACAGAGAGTCGGACTAGGGCAGTCAGGAGAAGACAGAACAGTGGTACTGCTCATTTCGAGCAGGAGATAAAGGCGGGACTATTTGATTTAACAGGGAGACGAGGCTGGTGAGCTGTCCATCTTATTGTGCGAATCTTACCCTGGAAACTTCTGGCAATGTATTATTGATATCCGGTATCGGAGCCTGAAAAATGACATAGAGGAGATAGCATCTAGTATTAGTGAACATTCCCTCGTACCATTATGGTCCAATGCACAGGATGTTATACGACTTTTTCGGCCACTGGTTTAAGTCAACACTTAGCTAAAACCAAGAATCGATGCTGCATGGCTGTGCTCGCTGCATCACGCTCAAATGTCCACTCTCCAATACCAACTCCTTCAGATGATCTTGCGGACTCAGAAATCGAAGCTGATGATCAAGCACCTGCGAATGGAGGAGACTTTTTTGGTACTTACGAGGAAGATGAAATCCAATGGCCCGGTGACATGGAATGGTATGCTAACAGCAGTGAGAATAGTGACAGCTCGGACTCCGAGGATGATGTCGTACCTGGCCTCGATGATGCCGAATGGGAACCCCTCGTAACTGGAAGGGATTTAGAGGACCAACTCGGAACTGCCGAAGAAGACAGCACAGAGATGAATAGCCACAATCGTGATTTGCGTCAGCAGATTGAGCAACGCGTGCTTCAGGAAGATGCAATCACTATTGTGCAATACCCTGATGCTCGAGCAGGGCACCCCATTCCGCAAGCTGACATATGCAATGCAAACGCTGCATACGCTACTGTTATCAATGACACTGCAAATCCATATGCCCCCTTCGCCTCTCGAGTGGATTGGGAAATTGCACGATGGGCTAAATTACGTGGCCCAACTTCAACCGCATTTTCGGACTTGCTTGGTATCAGTGAAGTCAGTGAATGGTATTAATATCACCTTCGAGCTGTGGGTAATGTGTCTATCTTTGTTGACAGGTCCATGAAAAGCTTGGTCTTTCTTACAAGAACTCAAGGGAATTAAATAAGATCATCGACAAGCAGCTTCCTGGTCGCCCAAAGTTCAGGCGTGAACAAATTGTCGTCGCAGGCGAGGCTTTCGACGTTTTTTATAGGGACGTTATCGAATGTGTTAAGGCTCTGTATGGTGACCCAGATTTTGCCGATTTTCTAATCTTTGCACCGGAACGCCACTATGCAGATGAGGAACAAACTGTCCGATTATTCCATGATATGCATACTGGTAAATGGTGGTGGGATACTCAGGTAAGTTCGCATTTTGGGGACTTCTGCTCATCGAAAATAACTGACATTAAATAGAAAAAGCTTGATCAGCGCAAACCGGGTGCTACCATCATTCCAATTATTATTTCGAGTGACAAGACTCAAGTAACAATGTTCCGAAATAAAACGGCTTACCCAGTCTACCTTACTATTGGCAACATTCCAAAGGAAATCCGCCGAAAGCCATCTCGCCGTGCCCATATTCTTCTCGCTTATCTTCCTACTACCCGTCTCGAGCACATCACCAACCAGGCTTCACGACGCCGAACCATTGCAAATCTGTATCATGCCTGCATGGGCCGTGTCTTAGCACCACTGGAGGAAGCTGGCTTAGATGGTATTGTCATGAAGAGTGGCAATGGTATCCTGCGTCGCAGTCATCCCTTATTTGCTTGCTTCGTTGGTGACTATCCTGAGCAAGTCTTGGTTACAGGAGTCAAAACCACGGAATGTCCCAAATGTGACATACCACCAGCCGAACTCGGAAGCAATGCCGCACCTTTCGAGATGCGCAACCTTGACGCTGTCCTCAATGCATTGGCTGCGATTGATAACGGAGATCTCGCATTTGTACATGCATGCCGCGAAGCCGGAATCAAGCCCATTATACATCCGTTCTGGGAGCCCCTACCCTATACCAACATCTTCCAAGCCGTTACACCAGATGTGCTTCACCAATTATACCAGGGTCTTATCAAGCATCTCCTTGGTTGGCTGGCCGAGGCATTCGGAGCAGCTGAGATTGATGGAAGATGTCGAAGGCTCCCCCCAAATCACCATATCCGTCTATTTATGAAAGGTATCACTAGCCTCTCACAAATCAGTGGTACGGAGCATAGTCAGATATGCCGTTTTCTACTTGGGATCATCATCGACATCCGACTCCCCAACCGTCTTGCCCCAAGCCGTCTCATACGTGCCGTCAGAGGTCTACTTGACTTCCTGTACTTGGCGCAGTATCCTTGCCACAGCTCCGAAACATTGACTCTCCTCACAGAAGCTCTCGATCTTTTTCACAACAACAAGCAGATCTTCGTCGACCTTGGAATACGAAACAATTTTAATCTTCCAAAGCTCCATGCAGGCCGCCACTATATGTCGATGATCCAGACTTTTGGCACAACTGACAATTACAATACAGAATATACTGAGCGCCTCCACATCGACTTGGCCAAAGATGCATATCGTGCAACAAACCACAAAGATGAGTTTGTTCAAATGACTCAGTGGCTTGAACGCAAAGAGAAGATCGCTCGACATGAGAGACATGTCATGTGGCGCCTCCACGGCAATCCCATTCGACACCAACCTCGTCCAGCAAACCTGTCTTTCGACCGGGTTCAAACATTAACGAAGCATCCTAGCATGAAAGCTGTGCCAATTCAGAAGTTAATCACGGAGTATGGGGCCACGTACTTCCGTGAGGCGCTTGCAAGATATGTTGCACAGCTGCTCATCCA